ACACACACGTACGCACACGATTTCTTCATTCCGTCTGCATTTTTCCATCGCCATTTCATCTTCTTAAGGGCGTCTGCGGATTTTCAGACGGCAAAGAACCTTCTACCATGGTCAGACCAGCCTTTTTAGACTTCCTGCAGTCCTTAGCCATATGGTTCGGCTTTCCACAGTTGTGGCAATTTCCAGTAAATTTCTACACTTTGGCAGACTGCTGCTTCCCTTTGTTAGGGGGCTTCTTTTTGCTCGAGTTGCCTTGCTCCAGCAAGTTGGCACGAGCTTCCATCATCGGGGCCTTCCCCGAAGACTTCCGATTGTCCTCTTCAATCCGAAGACGAACAAACAGATCTTCAAGACTCATCTCCTTCCTCTTGTGCTTGAGGTAGTTCTTGAAGTCTTTCCAACCCGGCGGCAGTTTCTCGATCACAGCCGCAACTTGGAATGACTCGCTCAGAGACATTCCTTCAGCATGAATGTCATGCAAGATGAGTTGGAACTCTTGCACTTGAGACACGACGGTCTTAGTTTCAACCATCTTGAACTTCAAAAATTTGCCGACGACGAATTTCTTCGCCCCAGCATCCTCAGTTTTGTATTTCTTCTCCAAGGCAGCCCAAAGCTCCTTGGCAGAGCCAACCGAGCTATACACATTGTACAACTCGTTACTCAGTCCGTTGAGGACATAGTTCCGGCAAAGGTAATCACCTTACTCCCAAGCATCGTATGCAGCTCGCAGCTCAGCATTCGATTCATTTTCAGCCACGACAGGAGGGTCGTCTTTCAGGTACTTCACCAAACCCAAAGTGGTCTGGTAGAAGTGCATCTTCTGTTGCCACCTTTTGAAATCAAGTCCGTTGAATTTTTCGGGCTTATCAGCAGTGGGAACATGAACAGCAGGTTGAGGATGATGAACAGCGGGGTTGACAGGTGGTTGAGTTTTTTATCCTTCTCCAGTGGATGCCATCAGTTCAGTAGGTATCGATTATTTGTCTTGCGATTGTTAGACAATGTGTGTTTAAATTACAACGGGAACCTATGAACTGACTGAAGTGTTCAGTTCGTACAAAAGAACTAAAACAAAAAATTAAATTACAACTCGAACGCGGAGAGATTTGAGTCGAGGCGATTGAAATCTATCCGCAAGACTTATACGCCCCGTGTAGTGCTGACGGGTCAATGCGTAATGTCCCCAAAGATACAACGACTTTAACACTCGGAAGCTGTAGCACACCAGCCTTCAGAATCCAGTCGAACAAGAATGAAGTCGAGAACCGAGAACTATGATATGATGCGTGAGGCTTTTAGAGTATCAGATTGCATGAAATGTTGTATGTGTTATCTGCACCTCTAAGTCCTATTTATAGGACTTCCACATCTTGAGGGAAGCCAGAAGTCACATCTGCCACTTAAGGCAGAGATAATGGGCAGTAAAATCATTCAGGTGTTACTACACCATTAACCAAGTGTTACTACACCATTAACCAGGTGTTAAGGCCATTAACCAGCCATTAACATCCACCTGAACAGTCACTTTCCACATGAAAGGTCACATGTCCATGTTCATTGTACATTTTTTTATTTGGGCCTAAAGT